GGCCACATCCAGCTCTGTCTTGAATATATCTAATGAACTGGCCCCAACAACTTCCTGTGGGAGAGAATTCCACAGGTTCACAACTCTCCAAGTGAAGAAATTCTTCTTCATCTCAGTCTTGAATGACTTACCCCTTATTCTTAGACTGTGACCCCCTGTTCTGGACTTTCCCAACATTGGGAACATTCTTCCCACATCTAGCCTGTCCAGTCCCATCAGGATTCTATATGTTTCTATGAGACCACCCCACACCCCCGCCACCCCACCCCCAATCATTCTTCTAAATTCCAGCAAATACAAGCCCTGTCGATCCTGTCATTCCTTATATGTCAGTCCTGCCATCCCGGGAATCAGTCTGGTGAACTTTCACTGGACTTCCTCAATAGCAAGAATGTCTTTCCTCAGACTAGGAGACCAAAACTGCGCACTATACCCAAGGTGTGGCCTCACTAAAGCCCTGTATAACTGCAGCAAGACATCCTTACTCCGATACTCAAATCCCTCACTATGAAGGAGAGCATGCCATTAACTTTCCTTACATCATCCTGCACCTGCATGCCCACCTTCAGTGACTGTTCCACCATGACATCCACGTCTCATTGCACCTCACCTTTTCCTAAACTGCCACCAAGAAGATAATAATCTGGCTTCCTGTTTTTCTGAGCTAAGTGGGTAACCTCACATTTCTCCACATTATATTGCATTTGCCCAATATTTGCCCACTCAGCAGTCTGTCTAATTCACCCTACAGCCTCTTAACATCCTCCTCAAAACACACATTGCCATCCAGCTTAGTGCCACCTGCACATTTGGAGATATTGCATTCAATTCCTTCTTCCAAATTGTTAATGTATATTGTGAACAGTTGGGGTCCCAGCACTGAACCTTGCGGTACCCCACACGTCACTGCCTGCTGCTCTGAAAAGGACCCGTTTATTCCAATTCTCTGTTTCCTGTCTGTCAACCAGTTCTCCATCCATGTTAATACATTACCTCTGATACCATGAGCTTTAATTTTGCATACTAATCTCTTGTGTGGAACCTTGTCAAAAGCCTTCTTAAAATCCAAATACACAGCATCTACTGATTCACCATTATCTACACTACTGGTCATATCCTCAAAAAAATCCAGAAGGTTTGTCAAGCCTGATTTCGCCCCAGGGAATCCATGCTGACTACGATCGATTTTGTCACTGCTTTCCAAATGCTATGTTATTACATCCTTAATGATTGACTCCAGCTTTTTCCCCACCATTGATGTCAGGCTAACCAGCCTATAATTCCCCATTTTCTCTCTTCCTCCTTTTTCAAAGAGTACAGTTACATCAGCCACCCTCCAGTCCATTGGAACTCTTCCAGAGTCTACAGAATGCTGGAAAATGATCACCAATGTATCCAATATTTCTAGGGCCACTTCCTTAAGTATTGTGGGATGCAGAGTATCAGTCCCTGGGGACTTATCGGGTTTTAATCCCATCAATTTCCCCAATACCATTTCCTGACTAATAAAGTTTTCCTTCAGTTCCTCCTTCATGCTTGACCCTTGTCCCCCAGCATTTCTTGAAGGTTATTTGTGTCCTCCTTCATGAAGACAGATCCAAAGTATTTGTTCAACTGGTCTGTCATCTCTGTTGTGCATTATGAATTCACCTGATTCTAACTGCAAGGTATTTACATTGTCTTCTCTATTCTTTTTCTCTTCACATATCTATAGAATATTTTTGCCTTCAAGAATAACCCATTAGCCAAAGTGTTTTTTTTTAAATTTACAAAACCAATCTGAACAGAGAAGGAAGAGACAGTGATTGAGTGTGTGTGCAAGTGTGTGTGTGTGTGTCTGTGCAAGAGAGAGAGAGAGAGATTTACAAGAAGTATTTAAACAGGTATATTAGTGACTGTGTATCTTAACCAATTATTACACTTGTGTTGAATAACTTTTGTTACAATAATAAAACAATAACTGTATCAATTAAGAAAGATAGTGGTTAGATCATCTTGTTAGATAAGTTATCTAATTGATCATCGTGATATCTGGATAATCATTTTATTTGTCAATTTCATTGGTATTTGTTTTAAATGATGCTAGAAGACCATGATATGAAGGAACAAAGGTAGGCCATTCAGCCCATCAAATCTCTACAACCATTCAGTGAGAACATAGCTGATCCATCATTTGCATCTCCACTTTCCTGCCTTTTCCCCATAACCCTTGATACCGTTGCCATTAATGTGTGTCCCCTAATAATTGACAATTCTACCCTGGGAAAAATACTCTGACTATCCATTTATTCCATGCCTCCCATAATCTTGTAAACTTCTATCAGGTCATCCTTCATCCTTCAATGTTCAAGTGAAAACAAACCAAGTTTGTTCAATCTCTCTCCAAACCAGGTAAATTTAGTAAACTGAGATAACAAGGTGTAGAGCTGGATGAACACAACAGGCCAAGCAGCATCAGAGGAGCAGGAAGGCTGATGTTTCAGGCCTAGACCCTTCATCAGAAAATTTAGTAAACTGCCTCTTTATTCTCTCCTGAGCCTCCACATTCTTCTGGCAGTGTGGCAACCAGAAGTGTACACAATATTCCAAATGTTGAATTTCTATACAGCTGCAACGTGAAATGCCAATTTTTATATTCTGTGCCCTGGCTGATGAAGGCAAGCATGTCAACTGCCTTCTTGACCATATCTATTTTGTTGCCATTATCAGGGAACAGTGGACTTGTATGCCTAAATCCTGCTGTATCCTCTGGCAATCCTCCTCACTATCCGCAGCTCCTCCAATTCTTCTGCTGTCCTCCGCTCATCTACCTCTGCTTCTAAATAAGAGAACATTGACAGGATTCCATTCATCTGGGACTTGACTGATTCTGAACTGAAGTCCGTCAAAATCAACTGTTTAGCAATACTACTGACAGTCACATGTGATTGCCTTGGGTGCTTTGCAGTGCAAAAGTTATTTTTCTAATAATGGTGTAAATATTAAAAAAAATTCCTTATGAGTAACATGCTTCTTACTGTAAATGGAGACCTGAGGTTGGCAGGCTTTCAAAAGGAACTTAGAGTTATGGACACACTCAATACATCGGCTAATGCCTGCAGCTTTATTGATGAAACAACCTCGACAAATGTTTAGCATAATCTGTGGCTTGTAACAATGTTCAATGAAGTCAATAGTATCAAACAAAACTTCGAAAGGTTCCTGTGGGTAGAGCAGATTGTATACCAGCTCCTTGAGTACAAAATGTATTCCTTTAGAATGGGTAACCAAACTTGAGGCTGAGGTTATTGAAGAGGTGCTTAATGTTGATAACAATGCTCCTGCCTTGCACCTTATTACTGACGAAGAGATTTCACAATGGTGTTACAGCAAAATACAAGCAGTGATGATGAGTATAACATGGATACGCAACAGGTGGAGAAAATACCAGTAGATGACATTGTAAAGCTGTATGGCAATTTGATAAATGCACCGGAACAACATGACTTTACAACTGAGCATACTTTTGAAAGAAAAACCAAAATTAATGAGGCAGATGATGCTGGAAAAACTTTTCAAGTGGGGCTGCCAACAAAGTACACCAACTGTACAAGATCCATTTCATGGCCTCATGTCAGCCCCAAATGTCCCAGCTACAGAAAGTGGACCTTTTAGAAGCTCCCATTGCCAGCTTTTCTATTACGAATAAATAAATTTGAATAAATTTAAGTAAGTATTTGTTTGCACCTGTTCATGTTGCTAAGTTCCTTCATTCACATACAGTAGCTGGTCTAAAGGCTGCTGAGCAGCATAACCCTGAGCAAATTAGCTCGAGTGTCAAAGCATCGCAGCACTGCTCTACCCCCATATGCCAATCCTCATTCTCCCCAGCAGTGCTCACCACAACACCCTCTCACCCCACTGAACATAGTTTCATATTTTCTCAATGTAATCTGGCAAGAAAAACTACCTCAGGTGAAGTCAACTGTGCTTTACCTGAAAACCAAAAGTATCCGAATTTCAATGCATGATTGAACCTGAATTTTTTGGATATAAGGATACCTAAACTGTATTTAAAAAACCTCTTACTATCTGTCTCATTAATGGCTAGTTTCCTGCCATATTTTGTTTTCTCTTTCTTTACTATTTTTGTCATCTTTCTTGTTTTTTTGAAACTTTCCCAATCCTCGGGTTTACCACTAATCATTACCACATTGTATGTTTTTTTCTTCCAATTTGATACTGTCCTTAACTTCCCTGGTTAACCATGGTTGCCTTATTCCCTTACTTCTTACTCATTAAGATGTATCTTTGCTGAGGGTCATGAATTATTTTCTTCAATATTTGCTATCATTCCTCAGTGATTTTTTCTGCCAAAATTCATTCCCAGTTCACTCCAACCAAGTCTGCCCTCATCCTGATGTGTTTATCCTTGCTTAAATTTAGCACAGTTGTTTCCAACTCAAGGTTCTTGCTCTCACACTGAATGCTAAATTCCACTATATTAGCATTACATTTCCCTCAGGAAATCTTTTACACTGAGATCATTCATTAAACCTACCTCGCTACACATTACCAGATCAAATATTGCCTGATCGTTGATTGGATCCACAACATATTGTTTCAGGAAACTGTCCCTAACTGAATTCTTCTCAGCTGCCTTAATCTGTTCTGATTTTCCAAATTTGTTTTGATTATGTGCATTAGTGAAAGGGCTTGAGCCTTTTGTTTGAGAGTAGTATACTTTTTTTTCAATGGAAGATTGAGTCAGGTAAGAAGTTGGCACAGTTATGTGCTAGGAATAAATTTAGGAACCAGTGAGGCTGAGAAGATTACAAAGAAAACTGCTGAAATCAGTAATTTGCTTAAATATTGTTTTTAAAGTAATCATATTTGTTGCTGTATGTATTTTTGTTGATCCAATTTATCAACATTGGTAAATGTTTGGTAATATTTGACCTGGTATTGCAGATGTCAAGAAATATTTCCTTACTGATTTTTCTTTAATAACTTTTCTGAAGCTTACACCACTTCTGGTTTTGGATATCTTGTCTCACATGCCTGGAATTCCTGGGCTTTTTATTGCCAGCGCCTTTAGTGGCACTTTGAGGTATGTAACATGTTACCTTAGCTATTGGAATTCACAGCATGTCACCTGGAATAATATTTCAATGAAATGTGTATTTGTGCAAAAAATACTGATAGTAATATTGATATTAAGAAAAATGTTTGAGTACCGATGGAGATGCATGAGGGAAACAGTGAGTTATTTGTTTCGTACTGTATATGGTGAGCTGCTGAATCGTACTGGTAAATGCTGAATGCTAGGAACTGAGTCAGTCCATTGTAAATGAAAGATGCCAATAGTAGGTGCATGGGAGTAAACTCATTGTCTTCCAGTGGCTTCACAGAGAGGCACTGTGAGCCTTAACGAACTCAAGGAGAAGTAAAAGACAGAGAAATTCTGGAAAATATTATTGTAAATTTTGAAATATAACCAGACATACCATTACATATGTTATTAAGAATAAGCAGACATCAGCTCTTCCAACTATCCTACCGCTCCCTAACCCATGTACAAGGTGCATTCAGAAGTAATGTTGTCTCAGTTTTGCCCCTGTGTTCTATTTTTTTGCAGAGCAAAATTCAGTTTATTCCCTGTTTGCCCAAGAAAAATATAAATAAATATTACTAAAACCTACATTTTTGCACAAATTAATTGTTGTAGGTGTGTAAAGGACACAGTAAAACTTTGCCATCGAACCACAAGGCAGGTTTTCTCCGATTTTAGATTACATGAAAGTTTCTGGCACTGATTGGCTGCCAGTTGGCTTTCTACCAGAACAATAAACCTGGAGCAGGCAGCGCCACCTACCTGCACTGCCGGATAATCAAAGGCCACAATATCCATGATAACAAGGTGTAGAGCTGGATGAATACAGCAGGCCAAGCAGCATCAGAGGAGCAGGAAAGCTGATGTTTCGGGCCTAGACCCTGATTTGGCAGCACCAAGGCTGAGGCCAAAGCTGTTTCTGGGACAGCACCCCCAGACCCCAATTTGGAGAATCGTGGCTGTTATGAGCTGGGTGTAGGGGTGGTTGGTCTGTCAGTAACCACACCTCTGCCTTCAGTCTAGTCCCTCGGTTATGCACAAAATAGTGCAGAACACCCACTCCCCTTCCCCCACACACGCACCAAACTGACAACCAGGGGCACTGGTCTACCAGTCAGGTAGGGCAGCTTTTTCTTGTTCCACCTGGAGCTGAGGTCGTTGCAGCACAGGTAAGATAAGGCCCTTCAGTGATTGTTAATTGACCACTTAAATGCTTTAATTGGTGATGGACAGAAACATTGACCATGGCCCATCATGCCCAAATCAAATTTCCGGGGTTTTGGGAAGTGAACAGGGGTCCCTCTGGTGCCTACCCCAACAATCAGATGCCCTTCCCTACCACTCCTTGGGTGGAATTCCGCTCTTAAATTTTTCAATACATGTTGCATTTTCCTAGAGACATGCTTGTCAATGAGGAGAGGCCAAAGGGGCATATTTATTTATAAAGTACGTGAGTTTAAAAACTGAGATGTCAAATTACTCCAGCCAAAATTAATGTGAATATGTAGATTCTAAATTCATTTGATATGTGTTGTTTCTGTTATATTTCGTTATAATTCCTGTTTTATTCTTCATGTCCACAGCACAATCTCCTCGGGCATCAATGCTATGACTGCAGTCTTTGTGGAAGATATTATAAAACCAAACTGGAGATCCTGGGACTATCTTTCTGATGACAGGAGGGCACTGATCTCAAAGTTTCTAGGTTATCTTATAACTTCTGAAATTCCAATAGGACGAAGCTTGAAGTACAGAAAGAACAATGACATAATTTAGCGTGACATTTCACTTGTCTATAAATGCACATTATAAATTGCTTGATTTGATGACACAAGGTAGTCACTCTGGGACGTTCACTGACTATGTGATGCAGTCTGCATTGATCTTTTTCTGGAGCAGTTGAAGAGTAAAATGGCATGTGCAACCAACTGTAACTCTTAACTGGTGCCCGGAAAGAAGTTAGAAAACTGTTGCTTTCAGCCAGCTAATAACCATTCTTCATGTTTAGGGTATTTATAATCATGTTGAGGTTGGTTGGCTTGCCGAGCTGGTTTGTTGTTCCGCAGATGTTTTGTTACCGTGCTTGGTAAGCACGTTACCAAGCATGGTAACGAAACGTCTGCGGAACAACAAACCAGCTCGGCGAGCCAACCAACCTCAACACCCACAACCCGAGCTACAGATCTACTCCAAAACCTTATTTATAATCATCTTTGCAAGTTGTGGCAAAGTTTTCTTTAACAGTTGGCATGCAGTAATAAGATCTTCAAAGTTTTAATTAGTCCTTTTGATCTATGCATCATCTCAATTTTCCAGGTTGTTCCACTGCTACCCATACTGCTTCTCCAGTCCATAGGAGTTGTCACTTTCTTGATAACTTCTTTTTTTTTCCAACTCTTCTATCTTGTTGTTCAGGCTAGACTTGTGGGTATTTGGAACTTTAGCAGATGCAGAGTTGGTCTCACACTGTCACCTACTTCAAGATAACATTCTCCCAGTGACTGTCCAAGATCTGTAAAAACATCTTTATTATTTTCCAGTATCAATGGCTTAGCTGCCTGCAAAATGCTGCAAACCTCTTCTGGTTACTAGCCCAAGTTTCAGACTTGCTTCAACTGAGATGAGTGAATTCTCCTTACTGCCTTCTATCTGGAACTCCAGATCTTCATTCTTCCCATTATATTTGTTCTCTTGGCACAAGGAGCATTTTATTATGGAGTCACAAGCTTACTTTTGAGGGCTTCATTTGGGGTCACCATCTTGAACCACTTCATACAAGTCTATCAAAATTTAACAGCCCCTTGATGTTCTCACAAACCATTTACCCCATTTAAACCTGATGATACCAACCTCCTATGTGGTGTAGGGTTATTTATCAGAATCACCAGTTGATATCTCTCCAGCAACAGCTTTATACACTTACTTTGCTTCTTTCTAGCTAAGCACTTGTACAGGAAGTGATTCAGCTGTTTGCTTTTCCCACAATAGATATGCTTCCTTCACTTTTGCGTGATGTCCAGCCCCTGACTTTGATCTTTCTGCTGACCTGTCTACAAATATTTAGTCCTTTTTCCCAACCTGTTCTAATTTAGCCTAGAATGTCTAGTAGCATGACGCAAAGCCTCATTTGATTTCCCACTAATATAATCTAACTGATGATTGACGATCTCAAAGCATCTGCACATATGGATAGCTTTCTTGAGAATAAGTTTCTCTTCTCTCAGCAGACATGCACCACAGCAGGATCTTTAATGCCTTAGATAATCCTACCTCTGATGAGATCATCTTCCTATTATCTGAACAGTTTCTAACCAGATGTATTAGTGCAGTCACATGCTGATCAATATTCCCCCTCTCTTTGTGAACTCTCGTGTTGAACTCACACACACAGACATAATATTATGGTGTTCAAAGTGTATCTTCAAAACTTTCAAAGTCTCTGCAGTCTGGCATTGCTGCTCCTCAGTAAAGTCTAGGCTGTAGCATTCTTTCCAAATCACCATTAGCAGGATTTTAATTCCTGTCTGCTAAATTTTTAAAATTAATTCCTTTGCTATTTAATAATTCTGCAACTGAGTGGAAAGATTCCAGTTGTGTTTCATATTTCATTTCCACAGCAGCTGGAAGCAGAAAACTCACAACCACTTTGACTCATCAACTAAAATTGCAGAACCCTGTTTTATTTACTCCTTCCTTGTTGTTTCTTTCAGTAGCTGGCTTTCTTATGGCTCTGAAAATTCACATCTATTCAGTTACAACAATCCTGACACTGTGTTTTAAATAATTTTTAATGCCTGCCACAATCATCCAAATTCTCCCGACCCATCCACTTAACACCAAAGCCAACTTAATGCCAACTCATATCAAATCCATGCCTCCACAGCTACACTTCATATGTACTTACATTGACCATGCCAACTCATCCAGTATTTACTATGGGCAAATCTCAGGAGCAACATTGAAATTAAGTAATATCTAATACAACCTTTACTGCAGTAAAAAAATGACATTGCTGTTCACAAAAGCCTAGTCAAAAGTTTTAAATCACCTTGAGTGTTCTTGACCTAACCACCTTCAGTTGCTTCATCAATGACTTTTACTCCATCATAACGTCAGAAATGGGGATGGTCGCTGATGATTGCACATTATTCAGCACCATTCACAACTCCTCAGATACTGAAACAGTCCATGTCCATGTGCAACAAAACATTGAGAATACCCAGGTTTGGGCTGATAAGCAGCAAATAACATTCACATGCAATGAGTGCCAAGCACTGGCCAATTCCAACATCTGACCATCTTGACAGTCAAAGGAATTGCCATCACGGAATCCCCAACTACCAGTGTGCTTAGGATTACATTGCCCAGAAACTGACTGGACTAGCCATGTAAATACCATCGTACAAGAGCGGGTCAGGGATTGAGAACAATGCAGTGAGTAACACATCTGCTGTCTCCCCAAAGCCTGTTGGCCATCTACAAGGCACAAGTCAGGAGTATGATGTAGTACTTGCCTGAATGAGTGCAGCTCCAACAACCCTCAAGAAGCTTGACACCATCCATGACAAAGCAGCCTTCTTGATTGGCAGCCCATCCACCATATTAAACGTTAATTTCCTTTACTCCGATGCACAATGGCAGCAGTGTATACTATTTACAAGATACACCATAGTGATTCATCAAGGTTTCTTCAAACCTGCGACTTCTACCATCTAGAATTGCAATGGCAGCAAGTACATGGGAACAACACCATCTGCAAGTTCACCTCCAAACCACACACCATCCTGGCTTGAAACTGTTTTCCATTCCTGCAGTGTTGCTGGGCAAAATCCTGGAACTTCCTCCCCTACATCGCTGTGGGTGTCTGTACACGCGAAGGGCTGTAGCCATTTGAAAAGACAGCCCAACAATCCCTTCTCCAGGGCAGTTAAGGATGGGCAATAAATGTTGGCTTCATCAGAAGCACCTACTTTGCATAAATGGATAAAAAGTACAGAATCATATACATATACATGCCCCAAAGAGAACCAATCGCTGAGTTTGTTCAGTGAGTAGATGAGCTTTGCCAGCTAGGAATATTCCAGATTTAAGGCCTATCCCGTTCTACTTGTGCTGAATGTAGTAGAAGTCATCACAGTAACAAAAATAAACCGATGAAATTAAGAAAAGTGAAGTATTCTAAATGCCCACAGACAATGCATTCCTGCTGATTTTCTTCTCTATTCTATTTAGCTATGACATTCGGGGGTTTGACAATGCTTGTCGCAGGGTTAACTTCTCTCTTAGATGAAAATGTAATGCAGGTAAAGACATGATTAAGTAAAACTATAAAATGGATGTAGTTTGATTTACAAAATTCGATTCAATAGCAATGTTATAATTCATGTTGATAAAGTAGTGTTTATTTTCTTTCTCAGCTAATCCGAAGTATTGATGGAATATTCCTAGGACCTCTGTTGGGTATATTCACTTTAGCAGCTTTATTTCCAAACAGCAATAGCAAGGTAAGACTATGCAATCCCACTCCTATCCCCCAGATAAATCAAATAGTGTAAGGAATGATTTCATGGCCTTTTCTCAGTAGTTGTTGTTTCTGTTCTCACATTTAAATATGTTCATGACTTCATCATGCTGCCTACATTTTATAGGAGTCTTTACTAGTATCCTGTAGGGGAAATGTGTATTATTCCCAATCTCAAATTATCTTGTGATTTTTTTTAACTTGCTTGTTATAATTTTGCATTTATTGTCCATGTTAAATAATTTGCTAATTTCTACCATTGCCAAACAGTGACTGTATTTGAAAAGTAATGAATTGCCTCTGAAAAAAATTGGAAGATCTTAATGATGTAAAAGGTGTGAGATAAATCCAGCTCCATTCTTTCTTTCTGTCAGTCTTGAAAAGGAGTCATATTGGACTCGAAACATTCACTCTGTTTCACTCTCCATGGATGCTGTATGATCTATTGAGTTTCTCCGTCCTTTTCTGATTCAATTAAAGTAAATGCTTACGCCATTACTCCAAGATTTGTGTCAATGTTATGACAGGGAATTGGAAGAAGCCCTGAGAAACATCCAACTGATTATATCAGATGAATACACATCTGTTAGCAGTGTACAAGCAATTAAAACAATGTTAACTGAGCATGCAGCCAGAAGGCCTAGAGTAATCAATTTCCCCAGGCTTCTGTACAACGTCCTGATCACAATATTTTCTTTGATTTCATTAATCCCAGGGAGCATTTGTGGCTATGCTGTTTAGTTCTGTCTTGAATCTTCTTTTGGGAATTGGCTCCCAGGTGTACCCACCTGCTGTGAAATTTACAAAGAAGCTGAAGACATCAGCAGCAGGTTGCCATCTTTTTAATATCACTATAGCAAGCTCCACCAATGTGACATCTTTACTCACAACCATAGAAACACCTCCAGCACCAAATAAAACGTAAGTCAAATTGTTTATTAAAACTATAAAAAACAGATTGGTTCTGTTGTCATAATGCACTTGAGAAACTGCACAGAAACTCAAGCCCCACTAATCCCTGGATTGTCACAAACAGTAAAGGTATAATAAAATTACTCAGAAGTAGCCAGTCCTCCATTTACATATCTAATGAATTCAGGTTAACAGAAAGTGCTGACCAGGTTTCAATATTTAACATGAATTACTATTTGTTACAAAGAAGTAAATTCTAACCACAGGCAAACAAGAAAATGAATGTACCTCAACAGGTTACCAACTAGTGAATTAGAACTAGACCTAGATCTTTGAATTTACAGTTATTTAATAATGTTGGGACCTTTTCTTTCATTTTGTGTTTTTTAAAAAATTGTGAACTGAAATGAGAAAGACCTGTTTTAAAAGCGATGTTTGAAAGAGTGGTTATGGTATTGAAAGACAAGTAATGTGACACCCATGGCAAGCATTATAAATAACTGAGATAACAAGGTGTAGAGCTGGATGAACACAGCAGGCCAAGCAG